GCTGGATGAACACAGCAGGCCAAGCAGCATCATAGGAGCAGGCTGCTTGGCCTGCTGTGTTCATCCAGCCCTGCACCTTGTTATCCCAGGAGCAGAAGCAGGCTGGTAGGATCTATTGTTACAGCTGCCTTTAACTGTGTGGACCTTGTTTATAATAACGACAGCATTTGAAAGGGTGCTCACAAGCCAGTCGCTCATTTGCATTTCTGCACTTTCCGTTTCATTTTTTGTGTTTGAATTTCAAATAAAAGGCACCTGAAACCAGACAACCCCTGTGGACCTAAAGGTTGTTTTTGAGATGTTCGCAAGTAATCCATTGCCATTGTAGATAGCAGTATCTGTAGGTAGATTCTAGGCACAGAAATGAGTAGAAATGCACCTGTTTATGAGTGCAGGAACAAAAACAAAAGTTGCCGGAAAAGCTCAGCAGGTCTGGCAGCATCTGTGAAGAAAAATCAGAGTTAACGTTTCGGGTCTGGTGACCCTTCCTCAGAACCGGACACTGGACATGAAACAGAGATAGTAGGAACTGCAGATGCTGGAGAATCCGAGACAACAAGGTGCAGGGCTGGATGAACACAGCTGGACATGAAACGTTAGCTTTGATTTGCTTTCACAGATGCTGCCAGACCTGCTGATCTTTTCCAGCAACTTCTGTTTTTATTTGAGGTTTACAGCATCCGCAGTTCTTTTGGTTTTTATATATAAATGCATGTGTTTCAGGATTTGTGGATCTGCTAACACCATAATAACAACTGTCTTTTCAATGAACTCCATATTAAAACTATTTAAAGTCACAGAGACCATAGAGATGTACAGCACAGAAACAGACCCTTTGGTCCAATTCGTCCATGCTGACCAGATATCCTAAACTAATCTAGTCTCATTTGCCAGCATTTGGCCCATATCCCATTAAACCCTTCCTATTCATGTACCCATCCAGATGCTCACTGGACTCGATATCGAGTACAATAACATTAGGGCTTGTGCTGCCCCATGTCCTTATCCCAATCCCCACAACCAAGCCTTGTTATCACATGGAGATAGTAAGAACTGCCGATGCTGGAGTCAGAGATAACACAGTGTGGAGCTGGAGGAACACAGCAGGCCAGGCAGCATCAGAGGAGCGAGAAATTTTCTGAAGAAGGTCCTGACCTGAAACATCAACTTTCCTGCTCCTCTGATGCTGCCTGACCTGTTGTGTTCCTCCAGCTCCACACTGTGTTATCTTTTGTTAACACATGGTTTGCTTTCACACACTACTCATTGTTAGCCAATAACAATCCCCATTAAAAGCTATTCACCCTCCTCGCCAGGTCGTTATCCACTCCTCTGTCTATATAACTGCTATTCTCTCTCTTTGGGCTCTGTCCCCACCTATCATTTACTCCTTAACCCCTTCCCCCACCCTATCTTCTGCATGTAAACTGACATTTTCCTAGCTACCACCAGTTCTGAAGAAGGGTCACTCGACCTGGAACATTAACTCTGATTTCTCCCCACAGATGCTGCCAGACCTGCTGACCTTTCCAGCAATTTCTATTTTTCCCTGTTAAATGTCGTAATTGTACCAGCCTCCACCACTTTCTCTGGCAGCTCATCCCATACCTGCACCACCCTCTGCATGAAAAGTTGCCCCTTAGGTTCCTTTTATATCGTTCCCCTCTCACCTTAAACCTCTGCCCTCTAGTTTTGGACTCCCCCACCCTGGGGAAAAGACCTTGTCTATTCACCCTATCCATGCCACTCACGATTTTATAAACATCTATAAAGGTCACTCCTCAGCTGATGAAACTCCAGGGATAATAGCCCCAACCTATTCAGCCTGTCTCTATAGTTGAAATCCTCCAACCCTGGCAACATCCTTTAAACATTTTTTTTATTGCAAATTTGGATGAAGGAAGTGAATAAAAGTAGAAGTTGTCTGGCAGAATCTGTAAAGAAAAAATCAGAGTTAGCATTTCGAGTCAGGTGACTTTGATTTTTTCTTCACAGATGCTGCCAGACCTGCTGAGCTTTTCCAACAACTTCTGTTTTTGTTCCTGATTCACAGCATTCATAGTTCTTTCTGTTTTTTTATGAAGGAAGTGAACAAATAATTGCAGGTAACACTAAAATAGTGGTGAAGAGGACACAAAATGTCCACTGAGGGATGTTGGCAGGTTTAGAGAGTGGGTAAAAATTTGGCAGATGGGATATAATGTGAGAAAGTATGGGTTATGTGCTGCGGCATGAAGAATAGAGGAGTTAACTATTATTTAAGTGGAGAAAGACAGCAGGAAGCTG